GTCCCAGGTGTGGTAAAGTGCAGCAGTGTATGCTTTGTTCAGACTGCAGTAAATCTTCTACAGTACAACAGCCAGAACTGGGTCTCATGCGGTAATGGATTGGCCATGCGTTGGATAACGTCTGCTGGCCACACTTCTAGGACGTCTTTGTCCCGCATAGGTTGACAAACAAGTGGAACATGCGAGGGGAACAAAACCAACACACACACACACACACGCACCCAAAAGAGGCCCACTGTCTGTGATAAAGGTCTTTCATGGCCAATTAAAGCAGCCCGACTTTCCACCTCAATAACATCTAAGCATCTATTAGCGGCAAGCGGACGCTCTGTCACGGCTCCCACTGAGTTCAGCTCATTGACTGTATGATTAGGTCATATCGTTCTCATCTGTCTCTGAGAACAATGATGCAACAGCAGAGCGCATAAAGAGCCACAGCTAACTCTCCAACAAACTGTAAATCATGTGTCCTACTGCTGGGTGATTACAATAGTGTCTGAATGAGCCCCAGGGTTACAAAGGCCAAAATCTGAAAATTAAGCTTAAAAAAAGATCTTCTCAGGCAGGGCAAAGTGTCAGTTATTATACAGACATTAAATGTAATTCATAATCCATAAAATTCCAGCTACACTCTTAAAAATAAAGGTTACTTATTGGCATTTGTGGTCCCATGAAGAAGAATTTTTAACATCCATGGAACCTTTTCAATGCACAAAACTTTTTTTTATAATGGAAAATGTTTTTTCTGATTATTAAAATGTTCTTAAAGGGGGGGTGAAACACTCAGTTTCAGTCAATCTCATGTTAATCTTTTTTTTATATATATATATATATATATATATATATATATATATATATATATATATATATATATATAATATATTTTATTGTCTTTTCACAATATGAATTTTACAGAACAACAAGGCAAACACTGACAATATTTTAAATACAGTCAAAACTTGTTTTTCCTTGAATTCCCTTAATTATAAGACATTCGTTTTTTGAAACATAAACCAAACATAAACATAAAACTAAAACTAAAACAAAAAATAAAATAAAATTGTAGCTTAGAACTGGGGTTTGGTATGTGTTAAATCTCATGTTAATCTTGAGTACCTAGTATTGCATCCTTCATATCTCCAAAAAGTCTTTAGTTTTAATATATTTATAAAAGAAAGATAGGCTGTAGGCAGGGCCGGATTAACCATTAGGGCAACTGGGCACTTGCCCAGGGGCCCACGACATCTAAGGGGCCCTGGGCAGGGGCGCCGCTAAGGGGGGAAAAGTTAGGACGATTCTAAGGGCCCACACACTTTTAGGGGCCCCAGAGATCGATTTTATTAATTGAACGGGTGCAGTATAGGGGCCTTACCTCATATTTTTTCATGGGGCCCAAAATCCCTGGCCGCACCCCTGGCCCTGGGCACCAGGGGTGGAGTGGCAATCAGGAGAGTCGGGAGTTTCCCCGGTGGGCCGGTAGTGTTTCGAGGCTGCGAGGGCCGGTCTGATAAAATGTTTTCATTGCAAGTTCGCCATGCGCACTTGTGGCCCAAGCCAGGGGAAGAAAAAAATATATTTTAGATAACGGAGCGTATATTTGCACTAAGTGCCTGTCTTTTTAGCAAAAAAGACGCACGTCACGGAATAGCTACAGTGGCGTAGGTCGTAGCGCGTGAAATGCTTGAAGGTAGCTTTTGATGCGCTCGACCCAAGTTCGAATCCGGCTTTTGCCGAACTCTCTCTTCTCCCCTTTCCCAACACATATGAGATGTAAAATGTATAACCTTACCTAACATAAAGGTCTCTAGCGTTATATTTTGCCAACAAACTAAAATCGAAACCATGATGGCTTTGTGCCTTTATAAAACAGCACAAGACTTTAAGAATAGGCATCCTGTTTGTGCTGAGTGATTGAAAGAAAAGTGCACTTTGCTCACGCGATCAGCATGGTTATCTGGTGTTTTCTCCTAAATAAAAGCTCAAGGGTTTATTTCTTGCAAGTGAAGAAATTAGGACAAAAGTATTTTAATTTTCCTGTTTTATAGTGTAATGTAGACTAAAATATACTTTTAAAATATTCATTTTCATTTATATAGTACATTTATAGGCTATGGATTTTACGTCATAGGAATAATTATATAAATCATTATTAGATTATTATAATAATTGTTTGGCATCCTAAAACACCATTGATAATGTAATGTAGACTGAGACTCTCATAACTAAAAAGATGTTTGAGCCCTCTTTATTTTCCTGGTACAAATCAATGCTTTTTCTTTGTTCAATGAGCAGTTCATGGGTTGAAGCTCTTAATTTTGATCAATGTTGTCAAAACAATCCCTGTTCACACGGATCCACCAAAACTTCTAAAAATGCTGTATTATTCATGCTAGGCCAGCAGTTGGCGATGTCACTTTGTAAAGAAACACTGCACATGTACTATATACTGAACATGTAATACGCATGTGCATGAAGTCACCGTTTTCACAGATTTCAAACGTTTGCATTTTCAGGCCCCCAAAACACTGTTACCGTGTAAATGAACAGCCAAAAACACATTAAAAAGTTTTTAGTTGAAAATGGTGTCGTGTAATTGGCCCCTTAGTCAGTCAGAATTTTCCTTTTTTGTTCAAAACAGTCATCTGGCACATGGCCACTTATGACATCAGTTGTATCCCGAGTGAGACTCAGAACTGCATCCAACTGAAGATGTCATAAATCAAAATTGGCCCTACTCTGAACTGACCAATAAGGGCCAATGACATTATGCATAAGCATATCTTATTATTACACTGCTGCCCTCTCACTTTCATTGCAAGGTACCATATTAAACAACAACTCCTCTGGGAACTCCTAGACACTTAAATCCACATTCATAATTTAAAGAAACGTATTCAATGTGCTGTCTGTGCCCCCTGTCCCAAGGGGCCACAGCCGTAGACTGGCCGACCTTTGATTCCTCGCACACTTGCAAATGTGCCAGTCCCATTGTCCACGACTATGGCCTGTTTTTACATATTGATTGCATTGATCCCTCCACTAAGCACTTACAAAGAGCATCTGAAGAATCAATACCATCCCTTCTGCTGTCATCTTGCCAAATCAAACTTCACCCCCAAAACAACATCTTGTCGTTGTGCAATGAAATTAATACTTGGAAGGGACTTGGGGTGACAAATCAAAAATCTATTTTCTTCACAATTGTAGCATTGAAAAACTCGAAATCTAACATTCCCTCCAAACAACACAACTATGGACAAAAGGGATGCATCCGCAGAGTTGGGATAGAGTTTCACAGCCAGATTGATTATCTGAAAGTCTGCCTTCTTTGTTCTGGTCCCCGCGGTGCTGAATTTGCGCTTCAGGTGAATGTACACAGATGCAAAAACTTCGGTGAAGAGCAATAGCTGTGCAGTGGTTATGACATTTTGAGTTTACTCTTAGATATTTTTATCATTTTCAGAAAGTTATGTGACGACTTTAGAACAATTGTTGGGAAAAATGCTTATGATAATTTCTTAAAAAGTCACAAAAATAAAATCCAGATGCAGACGTAAAAACAAATGTGCTGAATTGAATTTGTTTTGTACAAGAAATCTATAAATAGAAGTGAGTATTCTTATAAGTCTTTTTGTCTTGTTTTCAAGTAAAACAAAAAAAAATTCAGAGAAAGAGAATATTTCTTACATTCTTTACTTTTCATATCCCAAATAAGAATTGTTTTAGATAGATTAGATACTAAATTTACTCCAAAAAAAAACTTTTTTATTAAAAATAAAAGTGATTGAAGTAATTTATATATTTCTTTCTGGACAACAAAACAAAAATACTATTTAGACTGCTTACAAGTCAAAGGGCCACTTGTGTTTGACTACTCCAATATGAAAGTATCAAGAGGGTCATTTAAACAAACATATGTTCAACTGCTTTTGGAGGTTATTAAAATATTCAATTGCTTTGGAATTTTAAAGTTTATTTTGAAAACACATCTGCACAAAAAAGATACATTCTTCACATTATGGAAACACACTTCTATGGAAGCTTGTTTCTGCCACGGAATAAAACAATTTAATTGCAACTTTTTATCTCACTATTCTGACTTTGTTCTCACAATTGCGAGTTATAAAGTGAGAATATAACAGTTTATATTTTGCAATTCTGGCTTTATAACACACAATTGCGAGTTTATATCACTCAAATCTGACTTTCTAACTCACAATTGCGAGTTTATATTAGGCAACTCTGAGGGAAAAAAATTCAGAATTGTGATATAAAAAGGTCGCAATTACCTTTTTTTTATTCTGTGGAGGAAACAAGCTTACACACACTTCTTTTTGAGAGGTAGTTAGAGAGTCATTTATTTTATGGTGTAAATGTAGCACTCAGCTTAAATAAATGTTCGAGTTCACTGAACCTCACACAAAACAGGCACACTTCAGTGGACAAAGACACAGACGGAGGGAGGGAACATCAAGCTCTTCTTTCTTTTCCAGGAGGGGTGTTTGTTCAGAGTGGGTGCAGGGCAGTTTGGAGAGGAGGGGAGGGCAGCAAAGAGAGCCAACTGGGAAAAGCATGTGTGTTTATAAAAAACAAACTGTGAAAGATAACTATTACTAAACGAGCGAGTCAGTGAGATTCACAAGAGCTACTGAAACTTGTATATTTGTTCGTGTATTGTAATTATGTTAGTGTTAGTGTGTATGACAGAGAAAGAGCGGGAATGAAAGTGAGATTGACAGAGGGGGGCTTGGAGCTCATTGTGAGCAGCAGTGAGTTAATCTCTTTAGCGGCACACGTCTTATGTAAAGAGGTGTAATGGTCTCTGCCCCCTCTTTCCCCCAGGGGACCCCAGGGGACACTGGGGTCCCGTCTCCCAGCAACATTTACATGTCGGTTATTCCAAAAAAAGATATGGAGGGGAAAAAAAACTCTCAGTGGTGATAAGATCCGCCCACTTTGCGTGATAGACTTTTGTCTACAGGCAGTCTATATAGTATTCAGTGGTTCACTCAAGGACAAACACATTCTGACTCGCCACGGAGAGCATGCGAAGGAGATTTGATTCAGATTTGACAAACGCGGTGTCTGTGGATTTATTTGTTCGAAGAGTAAGTGTCATTATGTCATCTATTTTATTCTGGTAAGCCTTTGAACTTGAACGTAATCACGGAGTAAAAAGAGGTGATTTTTAGGTTACTAAAGCCAGACGGACATTGAGACGGTCCAACTGAGATTGTTTACCTGCAGCACATGGTGGGAAGTGATGTATGTGCATATGTGTCAAAACACAATGCAATGTCTGACTTGACTTTTGCTGATTGTTTTGTACCTTTTAAATGAAAAAAATTATGCATTAATATAATAATATGCAGTGTGTATAGATTGCTCTTCATAAATGAAAAGTGCAAACTCATCACAACAAAAATACTTCCCTCTGTGGATTGGCAAAAACAGTTTGCTTGTTCCAGTGATTTATGGGAGTTGTTTTACTTCTTTTTTTTAACAAGTGTGTATTACGTGTTGTGAGAATGTGTGAACTGATGATAATGTCAAGCATTGTGATTAATTTGCAGTGCTGTCTAAAAGAAGAGAATTAGCATTACATCATTGGTTGGCATGACTCGAGGACAAAATATGTGTTACTCTCTTAAACAAAGACTCTGATGAGGTCGCTTTTCATTGGAGGGGACCGCCAAAGGGCTGCCTGAAGCTATTAAGTCCTTCTGCTGAAACAGATGTTTAATCCAAAAGTAGTATCAAATAACCTTATTTAAATCACTGTATATGCTAAATAAAGCCACATGAATGATAACTGAGTTGTCTGGAATATCATCCTTCTGGCAGTACAAACAGTTGAATCAGTGTTTAAGAAGTCATTAATATGCCTCTATACCGTATTATATTTGATTTTGAAATGACATGCAACAAGGAAACTTACGGTCGGAATATAGAGACAACAAACACAAGTATGTGGTTGCATATATAGGTTTTCTTATCTCAAAGCAGCTACAAGGCAGCACAAAATAAAATAACATAAAAAGATACAATTTCTTTGTAATGCATGATTTCATAATGTGCTATTAATAATTAAGAAACAGCTGGCATATTTGCTCTGTTCTTTCTAGCTAATAAGCCTTTAACATATCAGGCCAGTTATACAAAGCCACGTGTGACGATGGTGGCAGGTCTTTTGTTCATAAAGCCCCTTGCTATCTGCTCTGAAAGACAGATGGAAGGCATGATGTGTTGATTATGGATGTGTATTATATGCTTTAGGCACATGAATCATAAAAGAAGGTTGATTAGCTGGAGACAGATCTTTGGTACTCTTGAACTGTTGTCAGGTGGCTGACAGGTCCAGTCTCCCAAGCGGGCTCCCTTTAGTGGAATATTATTTCCAAAATATGAAGCCTTATACATATATGTAAGCTACCTCATCAAGTAAGAATGCTTTTTTTTCTAAATAATGCTTGTCTGAAGAAATAAAAGATGCAGATTTGTCATGTCCGATTCCGATTCGGATTCGGATTTTTTTACAAGCAAATTTGCCGATTTTGATACCGGTTGCTGCGTTTTTTCTTTAAGCAAATTTATTTGTTGTTTATTTGCTCTATAACAGGCAAACTGGCCAAATTAGAGTCAACCACTGTATTTTAATCATGTAATCCAAACAAAGATGCTACACATAAAGCATTAGCAGTTGCTTTTTAATTAGATTGTATCATTTCTAGATTTAAAGCAAAAACTGAATGGTCTGACATTAGATTTGTGAAATGTTGCTACATAAGCCACCTGCACAAAACAAAAAAAGCAGTATGACTGAATGAATGAAAATGCAAATTCACTCTGACAGTAGGTGGCGCTTATGGGACAGCAGCGGTATCTTTAGGTATTACTGTACACAAAGCAGCACTGCGCTTATAAACACTAATTTATACGGAGGTAAGAGGAAATGAAAATGGCACTTAAACATTTCAGAAGACAGTCAGTTCCCTTCAGAGATACCTTCATATAAACCCCAACAACAATTTAATATGTACATTTGTTTCCTATATTTTGAGCATCGCAAACAGTGAGCTTGCTGTGCCTGGTATGGTATTTGCTTGTGCATGTAAACATACTCAACTTTGTGTAGCCTGACAAGAAGGGGGAAAAAGTAATTGGCAGGTCTTTTGACCTACTGACCAAGTCAAATGAAAAGATGTTTGACCTAGTTACACTAATTTCAAGCTTGCAGCATTGTCAAGCTTTGTTTGTCAAAGAGGAGGGTATTCTGGTTACTTGTTCATAGCATGCGTTCAATGTGGTCTCAATTTTGTAAATCAGGATATTCAGGATAACTGCCATAGGTCTACTCCTATTGTACACCATGTGGGCAAATAGCCAACAAGAAGACATGCTGTAGTTCCTGTTTTTATAGGACCTGTTTGCTGAACGTTAAGTAAAGTAAACATTAAGATAAATTATACATAGACCCTGGTGCTATATTGCTCTAATGACAACAAGAGACATCTCACTTCATTTCTTAAAATCCATGTTTTACCAGGTTTCCCAAATGGGAATAAGAAGGATCTCCACACAAGGCAATGAGCCCATCAGACCTTCCTCCATCATTAAAATTCTGTAATTACACACCTGCCACCATCAAGACCACCACCTGCTTTCTCCAGATGTCCCAGCAAACATGGGTAGTGTCAGCAGTTTGATATCAGGCCATAGCCTTCACAGCAAACACTGCAAAGCCTCTGAAAACAAACTCAAAAAGGGGCTTCAGTCTAAGAAAACAGGCCGTAGCTTGGATGGCCTTCTGAAGTATGGCTTCTCTCAGGACCATTGCACCACCAACAACAACTCAAAAGTCAGCTATCATTCAGGCAAAAACGATGACTTCTTTTACATCAAGGTCAGCAACAAGCCCCGAGCTGCTCAACATAACATTAATACAGCTGAAGACAGTCAAGGAAGAACAGCTGAAATGGACAATGAGGTGGACAGGAGAAGAGGGCCACCAGAATTAGTTCCGCTGTCTGGAAAACTAGAAAAGGTAACAGAACTGGAGTTAGCCAGAAAGTAAACAAAGCAAGGCTTGGGCTACAGAGTTAATTTCATATTGCCAAAATAACATATCCTCAAGAGTTTAATTTCTTCAGTGCCTATATTGTTGTATATTAAGGAAGTATTTCTATCCTATAAAAATGTCCGTAAACAATTCCGTTTATAAAGCAGTAAAAATCTAAATGTCTGCTTAGTTCATATTAAAGCAGCCAAACCCAAAAGATGACCCATCCCCCCAGCCATTGTTATCACACAAAATCAAACAACAGTCAAATATAGTTGATGTAAAGTAATCCCCACCAGACCCTGACACTTTCACTAAGAGCTTAGCATTGTCTGCTCCATTTAATTAAACCCCCAGATTGACGAGGTAAGAATGCCTTGATCTCTCCAGAGATTCGGTCCAATGGCAGTGTGGCACTTGCAAGCAGGCAAGCTGCTCTTTCCCTGAATAGCCTCATTTATGAAGGATCTAGCTAGGAAAATAAACCGAGTTTTACTAGGTCAGGAAGTTAATGCTAAACTAGCAGGGCAAACATACTACCATATGGAAGAGAACATGACTGGGAAAAATAGGAGAAGAATAAGAAAGGAAGGAAGTATAGTTGAGATTGCCTTGTTGATCAATCATTTATGCTAAATGTTTTGTTGTAATGTCCTGGCAGTTATGAGAGTAATTACTTTGAGAGCATCTGATCAATAGGTTTTAAGATGGATAGTGTCCTGCCTTAAACATGAGCTTCATGAATGATCAGTTGGTTGTTGTGCACTTTAAATCTCAAAAACACTCATCTGTCTTTTTTTTTTGTCCCCTCTCATTTAGAGTGTAGAGAACGCCTTGATTCGGCCGACCGCCTTTAAACCTGTTCTTCCTCGAAGCAGCAGTTCCTTGGTGGAGACTCATAACAACTTGAGCACTATCCTGGGCAAGAGAATTAGTCCCATAGACAGGCTCAAAGATCTTCAGGACCCCAAGCTGGAGACAAATTCTGGTACCTTCTCTGACTCTGGAAGGAACTCTATGTCCAGCCTGCCTACCCACAGCACCAGTGGCAGCAGCCAGATGGACAACCTAAGCACTTCAACTAATCACATGGTGCGCCATGGAGGCCTTAGCCAAAACATGGAAACATCTCAGAACCCACAGGGGGCTGTAGCTGGAATGAATGGAAACTCTGGATCCAGTAGGATGTGTAGTGGGACTAATGGAAACAGTTGGGCCGATGGATTTTGTGAAACAAACAGAAGTGGCGAGTCCACAAACGGCAACACAAGATCCATTGGTGTCCTCAGTGAAAGTGTGGCAGCTGCAATAAGTTTGAACAGAGAAATAACTGCTGCAGCACTGACAGTCTCATCCACGGAGCAAAAGATTGATTTCTCTGGAAACCAAGAGCAGTTTCTTGAACACAGATTTACAATTTCAGAGCAAAACCCCAAACCATCAGCCTCTGGGGGCTGTGTCCGATCACCAATTTCAATGAATGAATCACTAATACAGCAGCTGGAGCACAAACTTCTGGAACGTGAAACTGAGCTGGCAGAGTTACAAACGAGCCTTGAGGAGAAGGAGTCAGACACATGTCAGCTATTTGAGGAGAAGCAACGCTACTGTGCAGAGGAGATGGAGGGGTTGAAACAACGCTGTTCTACAAAACTTCGTCAAGTAAGTTGTTTACAATATTTTATAGATTTGAAGGAATATGTATAAAGTCTGGTGTTAATCCAAAACCAGTAAGAGTACCTTACCTTACCTTTATAGTCAATCAAGCATGCTATTCACCTTTATCCAGACAGATCCTAATGATGTTTTGTGTATAACTGCAGGTGTCCCAGAGGGCTTTGAGAGCCCAACAGTTATTGCAACTTCAGGTGATACAACTTCAACAGGACAAGGAACGTCTGCAGGAGGAAGTGGACCAGCTAAATCGTGACAGGGACACTGCAGAAAGCCGACTTCGAATCTATGAGAGCCAGAGAAACCTTGTACCTACACTAGAAGAGACTCAGTGGGAGGTCAGTCTATAAGACCTAATTGTGGTTTAGTGACAAATGTGGATACATTGAATGTGATCTATGTTTGATAAATACAGTATGTCTATATTGAGTACTATTCTAAATATTGGGATAATCAGGGGGAAGAGCTAAATTGTAAATTACAAAAAAACTAACCGCATCTATACTTTTTTTTACCCTATGTTATATTTGTAGGTGTGCCAGAAGTCAGGTGAGATTTCTCTGCTGAAGCAGCAACTTAGGGACTCCCAAGCCGATGTTGGGAACAAACTCAGTGAGATTGTCAGTCTCAAAGCTTCTCTGAAGGAGTCCAAATGCAAGATGGAAGAACTGGAACAGAAGATCAAGGAGTATGAGGAAGCTCTTCACCAGCGGTGCGCTGAGGTCGAGGTATGTGTTCGTTGACATTAGATTAACTTGCAGTTGCTACTGCATCCTGTACTGTTACATGTGACTTACTTTGATATCTGTTTTTAAAAAGGTATCTAAGAATGAGTTTCAAAGAAAGAAGAATGAGGCTGACCTCCTCAGGGAGAAGGTAAACATGCTGGAAACAGACATCAAGGGCATGAAGCAGGACCTAGCATTGGCCAAAGAGGAGCAACAGAAGCTAATGACCATGAGAGCCAAGGTTGAGGAGCAACAGCTGCAACTGAAGATAAGCCAAGCTCGGATGGAGGCCTTTGGTGCTAGTCAAGCCAAATCAAAATCCCAGGAGGGAACAGGTGCCAGTAAAATACTACATCATAATGGCTTGGATACCCTACACAAGGAGGTAGAAAGGCTGAGAGGGGAACTGAAGGAAGAGAAGCAAAAGAAACATAAGATGATGAATAGCTTCCAGCAAGAGAGACAAACATGGAATAAAGAGAAAGACAAAGTAATCAAATACCAAAAGCAGTTGCAGTACAATTATCTGCAGATGTACAGAAAGAACAAGGACCTGGAGAAGATTCTGAAGGAGCTAACGGCTGAGATGGATAGTCGGACAGAGATGGACATAGACAGCCATAGCTCTGACCTGAACTTTGATAAAGTTGTAGCCACAGAGATATGAGGTCATAGAGGATGAACGTTTTCACAATTAACCGAATGGTCTTAAAAGGATGAATGTACTAGTGGGCGGAATTCACAAAGCAAAATTTAAAGAGAGAAACATAACGTCACAGAAGATTTTGAGATGTCAGGAGATGCTCGAAACTTAAGAATATAACATCACCTGTACAGACCACAAAAAGCTTTTCTCCTTTTAGATTGATCACTTAATTAAAAATATTAGGATGTCAGCCATGTGTATCCCAATTAAAGATGCAGTAAGCGATTTTGTCAATTAGAATGGCACAAATAGAATTGTCAATTAGAAAATATCCCTCTGACTTGACAGATCTCACTGAATTGATGTTTCTTAAAGCTGCAGTCCGGCGTTTTTCCTCTTTGTCGCCATCTCTGTTCGAAATCTGAAATTGCAGTCATTCGCGGAATTATCAACTTTACGTGAGTTGTACTTCAACACCCTCGACACGGCACAGATGAACACAATGTTTGAGGAGAGTGTGAGGCTGTCAGTCACCGCGCCGATGTGGATACTGGCATTCAGAATCACAGATTATTCTTTTTGGAAGTATAAAACATAACAATTTTCACCGGAAAATGTCATCTGAACTAGTAAGAAACATCCACCTTTGTTCTGGTTCTGACATTGCAGTAAATCGCGCTGATTAAATCTAACAATCGCTTATAAGTTATCATATCACGCAAAACCGTGCAAATTTGTATCCTTTGTATCCTTTGTATCCTTGTTTTGTAGGATTTGTATCCTACAAAACAAGTAGGATTTTGTTTCCTTGTTTTCGCATGGGTCCGGTTGCAGTCTCTTTTTTTCTGTGTCCGAAGTCCAAACGAAGTCTTTTGCATTTTACAGCGGGTGAATCTGTTGTCACTGGTGATTGTCGTTTGAACCTTTCTCGATCCACCATCAAATTGATAAGATTAATTATATCAAGTGCTGTGAGAAAAGGCTATAAATCTCCACCTACAGCATCCTCACACGCAATATAGCCAACTAGCGAGACACCTCCCTTATGTGTAGAGATGTGATGTAATGACGCAAAGACATGCTCGAATCTCCCGCGGAAATCCACCAGTACCACTGGAATTAAAAACATTATTACAAGCTTACCGCTTTGAATCGAGCTAAGGCAAGCAGATAGTTTTGAACACTGGCTGGTTATGTATTTTCTCAAATATGTATTTTGGATCATTTTTAACCCAAAAAAAGCTACGGACTGCAGCTTTAAACTATCACATCTGTTTCTGTGGCAGCCATAAATTCTGTAAAATCCAAATAATTGACCACAGTCAGATTCTTTGTTTAGCCATTTTCTGCCTGTCAGTCATTTTGTGCATTCATAGGACAGCCCATAAATGGGAAGGGGGTGTTTATGAGTGTGGTAGTTGAAGTTAGTTGATTAATTCAAGTTAAGCACCATATTCGGATTCATAAGCAATTAACAGTTGTTATGTAGTTTGTCATACAAGAACTATTATTTTGCTACAGTTTAGTTTTAACAACTTTGGCAAAAATGATATATGCTACTGTTCTCCTTTCTGATCTCTGATTACAATGGTATAACATTAGGGCGGGGTTATGGGGGTTAAATCTGCAGAAGTTCCAGAATGGCTACTGCTTACAGCACCTTTAATCTGTGTGCATTCAACCAAATGCTTTACCTCCCACTTACCCAAACAATCCAGTGCTTCTTGCCTAAACCTTAAGCAAATATATAGTCTCACTACAAGGCAATAAAGTGGGGTGAATATTTTATTTGCTGTAAATGCTAGTTTTGCACTTTCTCTTTGTTTTATATGACAAGAATTCTTATCACATTATCACCTTGGCAGACAGGCTCATAGAAACAATATGTATACAGGGATATTGTAGCTCAAATCTCAGTTGTGTTTTTTTTCTCCCAAACTTGCCCTGGTATGATTGGTCATGTGACATGAGAACCAATCCTGTTTTGGCTTCATGACATCAAGCCAAGCACAGGGCATCTAAGGGGTGACATTTTCTTCTAATTAAAAAAAAGCATCAATGAGATGATTTAAAAAATTTGGAATGGAAGATAACCCATGAATAAATGCTTAACTTTTGGTCTATTACTCAAACAATGACTTAAAAAAGAAGACCTAGAACATGCGCATGAGTCATGTGGACTACTTTTGTTGTGTATTGGTTTTCTTCTTCTTTTTTAAATATAAATCACTATCCACTGTCTAACCTTCTGTCTAAAGTAATTCTCATTTCTTCCCGGTTTCACAGGCAAGGCTTAAGTCTAGTCCCCGACTAAAATGCATGTTTGAGCTGTTTTAACTGAAAGCAACTTGCACTGACAAATCTTAAAATATATCAGTGCCATTGTTTTGTTTCAAGATGCACACCAGTAATGTTGTTTTCTAAGGAACTTTTATAAAAGCTACATAAATGTCCTAATTGAACTAAGGCCTAATCCTGGCTTAATCTAAGCCCTGTCTGTGAAACCAGGCCATAATGGATTTGTAAACAATAATGTTTAATGGAAGACGGAAAATAATACTTGGTTAGAACAATAAGAGTTAAGTACATAACAAAATTTTCATTTTTGGAACAGTTCTGGAATTGTCCAAAATAATTGTCTTCCTGTGGAAAAATGGTTCTTAAAGTAACTGGACAACAGTGATCTATTTTACTCTTCGGTGGGAGTTTGAATTAGTTATCACTTCAAAATGCAGACATCCCAAGTCTCCCGGAAGTTCCGGGAGTCTCCCGTATATTGATAGCGTCTCCCTGATGCCTGCAAATTAGTTCAAATCTCCCGGAATCTAGAGCGAGATAGAACATACTGCGCGCATAACATACGGTGCGCGCGTGGCAGAAAGGGAGAGAGCGAGAGACCTTGCGAGTCAAAACGAAAGCTAGTCAACAATCCAGTCACCAATCCAGTTGTAGTCACACAAGATGATGATAACAGAGTAGTATGTCTTCCTTTGTAGCACAAAAATACAATACTATAGGCCTATTTAACAGGTCACATGACAGGTTTTCCTACCAATGTTGCTTAAAACGGCAAACAGAAAGAGTGAGATGGTCAGACGGTTTCCATTTTTCATTGCACAAATTTGTTACCCAGTGTTTCATCACACAAAATTTCCCAAAAAGCTGCCTTGTAAATTAGTCCTTAGAGCTTCCAGGAGTCTTGATTTGATAAGAACAAACTGATAATCATATTATTGATGGTGCAGGCTGGGGTGTAAGGCTGTCTTTAGATGCATTTGGATGCATGTATGTGTTGTATATTTCTTATTTATTTTGATTAAATAAATTAAGATGTTTTCTGAATATGGTTTCAATTGGTTTTCAATCAGTTATTTTATTGTTCATCTTCAAGTACCTAAGCAATAATCAAAGTTGATGAAAGACAACGCAACCGCCAGAGCAGGTGATGAGTGATGACATCAATCTGCAACACAGATGAGGAACCCAGAGCAGACAAATAATCTTCTATGTTGTAATTTTCTGCATTTGATTCTGCATTCTCATGCTACCAGAGAGAATAAAGGGAAAAGTAAACTCCTCCTAGATACTAACTAATTGTTGTCATCTGTAACTGATTCCAATTTATGGGAAACCCAGATGCAATTTCTTTTTTTTAAATGCACTTCATGTTGTTGATAAAGAATGGAATACATTTTCTTTCTCTTTGTATTATTATGGTACAAGATTATTCTATTCAAATCAATGTGATAAACGAGTTGGGTCAAAAGGAATCTAAAAGTAGTCAGATTATATTATCTTAAATGCTGTGAATGTAATGGATTACATTACGAACTACAATTTTTATCATGTAATTTGGAATTAGTAACTGACTAAAATTTAAGTGATCTACCCAGCACTATTTTTTTCTTTTCTTGCTAGTGTAAGGTGAATGAGTTTTCATAAGCCCAGAACCTTTGCTATGGCATTACAAAAGACCACTGAAACTGAGAGCCAAACAAATGACAGGAAATGATAAAATGCCAATATGCATGCAAAGCAACCCTACCGGAGACATAAACGATATTGTATCAGTTACTATCAGTAACATGAAGATGTTGATATTTCTTCAGGTCTAATGCCTACAGGGTACAAAGGTTTCAAACTTTATCAAACCACTGCAAATATTTCAGGTAGGTTTTGTAAAATGTTACATTGCTCAGTGCTTTTCAATTACTGTTTAGTACTAAGTCTGACAGACAAAACTATAAATGTTTATTTTTAAAAACTCATTGATATTGTGGAGTCGCCCTCTTGTGGTGACCTTCTGTTATTACACAACTGACAATGGGGGGGGGGGGGGGGGGGGTTTCACCTCAATCTCCTCCAAAGTGCTGCTCCGCATTGTCCTCTGTGTGACTGATAACAATCTGATCTGATTCCAATCTGATGTAGATATGATAAAAAAAACAAGGTTTGTAAAGACAGCTTCAATTTTGTCTCCAAATTAATCTGGTTTCAAACTAAATTTTTCTACAACTACTGCTCTTCTAAAATTTACCAATGATGTTTCATCTTCCTTAGACAATAACATGTCAACTGGTGCAATGTTTATAGATCTCACTAAGGCCTTTGATATGGTCGATCACTATATGCTTCTCGACAAATTATATGCGATAGGCCTTTCTAAAAATTCTCTTCTCTGGTTGAATTCTTACCTCCACTGTAGACGACAGCGTGTTTCTTTTCATGGTTGTGTGTATCACAGTCCTTAATAATGGACAAAGGTGTCCCTCAAGGCTCTTCCTTAAGGCCCCTTCTATTTTCTTTATTTATCAATGATCTTCCTCTAATTTGCTCAGACTGTTGTATCCATCTATATGCAGATGACACAGTGATCTACACATCTAATGTGTCTGTCTCTAAGATTCAATCCTCATTGCAATCTAACTTTAATGCTATTCAACTTTGGTTCCAATCCAACCCTTTTCTATTGAATAAGAAAAAGTCATAGCATATTGTTCCCCACCAGCTCAGCTTCAATGAATCAAGATAACAATCTTTCACTCATATTCCTAGACGATACTCAACTTGTACAAGTTGATGAACTTTTGGCTTGACTCACAACTCTCCTTTACGTGTCATATCAATTCTGTTGTAAAAAAAGATGAATTGTAATTTACGAATATTGTATCGCTCTATTAACTGTTTCACTCAACTGATTAGATTAAGAATTTTGTCAGTTAAAATTTCCCATGTTAGACTATACGGACGTTGTCTATCAAAACTCATCAGAATCAAACTTGAAGGCATTGAATGTTGCT